CGTACTTTTTATCTCAAAACATGTTTCTCAAATATAAACCAAACAAGGCCTTAATTATTTTCTCATAGCCTTTTAAACTCTTTTTGAGATAATTCATCCCATGTTTTAGGAAGTTTGGCTATAAATTGTTTTTACCAATGAATAGTATCTTTCAGGTCTAGTTTGTAGAACCATTTTTTGTATTACAAGCATAATTTTCAAAATAGCACATATTACATATTCGTATCTTAGTTAGATTTGTAAATGATTTTTTTTTTTCGTTTTTTGTTTTTGTTTTTTTGTTTTTGTTTTTGTTTTTTTTTTTTTTTTTTTTTTTTTTTTTTTTTTTTTTTTTTTTTTTTTGTGAATTCCCAATTAGCTAAGAGCTGTTCCACAAAATTCTCATTTAAGATTATCTACCATAAACATGATACTCTCTTCAGTTGTAGTTAAAGCTAACCACTGAACTCTTATATTATCATTATTTGAGAGAGCATCCCAAAATTTTGTAGCTTGACTTCTTACAGTGGCTTTTATAAAAGCATTTAGACCTCCTACGTCTATAGCTTGTCCAGTACTACAATTCTTACTGTTTGAGCCCAATCATCTATAACCTCTTCTATGTTGGTTACACAGTCGAGATCAAGATATATTCCATATTTAGTAACATGCTCATTTTTTTTACGGCTTTAAGAATAAAGTCATATTTTATATGAGTTTTTAATGGTCCTCTTTTTCCAAACTTTTTTTCATTCATAGAAGATTTTTCCTCATTATTCCCAAAGATATTCATAAAATCGAGATTTCCCCAAAAACTGAAATTTCCAAGTGCTTTATTTAATTCAGATGTTTCAATTTTTCTTTCTGATTGATAGCGTTGTTCTTTTAACTCTACTGGATCAATTGAATCGTTTATTGATTTTTTAAGCGTTTTTTCTTTTTCATAATTATTCATATATAGAATCAAATATTTTTGAAGATTTTCTAAGGATATTCCTTCAATAAGATTTTTCAGTGCGGATATACCACCACCATCCTGATTTTTTTTTTTCATGTTTTATAGTTTTTGTAGTTTGTTCAATAACCATAAAAGAAGTTCCAAATCTTTTAATAAAACTTTCCTTTTGATTTTTAAAAGAAATTTCTTTTATTTCTTTTAACACTTCATAGATATTTTAGTAATCATGATATTTTGATTTCTGCAAATATTTAAAGTTTCTTTACTCACATCCATTAGATTATAATAGTCCTGTAGTTTCAGTTTTACTATTTCCATGATCAAGATGTACAAAAAAAATTTACATCTATTATATCTTGCATTAAATGTTGAATTTCCATGTTTAAATTTTTTCCTAGATTTGATTTCTTGACTCTGATATCAAGATTGAAGGTCTTACAATATCTTACAAGTAAAAATTAAATTTTTATAAAATTATACTTCAACTTAAAAATTTAACTATAAAATTATATTAAAGTTTAAGGTCACTTTGTAGCGGAAAGATGAATTGGATGCCGTCTAAATAATACTGTTTTTAAGGGTGAAAGATTGGTAATCTTAATCTTTATCCTTATATATGTAATAGCGTGAATAACGAAAGTGTTGAACAAATTAAAAATTAAAAATTGCTGGTCATTCTAAGTCAGACAATTTAACCTCAGCTCTTACACTGTTTTATGGAAAATTTATGTTTAGACAATTGAAAATCACGCCCACTTCCAAATAAATTTAAAAAAAAGACTTTGGAATTGATAACGACCAAAAAAAAAAAAAAAAATGAAGACAAAACCGGCACCAGATGTATCAAAATGAGGATGGGATCTTCCGTTCCAAGCTAGTGGCCCAAAACCTCTGTTGCACTCCCTGTCTATAATTAAAAAAGAAACAAAAATGTCAGAGACATAAAGTAATTTATCAAAAAAATTACTAAACATTCAACTCACACCCATGTGAGTGTTCGATTGTTATGACAGTATGAAAGATAAGATTTTACCAAGAGGCCAAGAAAGAGAGAAAGAATAGGAGATCCACGACCGCAATGTTTTGGGGTTTTGATGGGTTCTCGGAAAGTTTTTTTAGTTTTTGAGCCGTGAGACACCAAGTAATTTATATAAATAAAAAAAAAAGAAAAGAAAAATATTTAACACTCGTCAAAAAAATTTCACAATGTGATTTACTGGCATGATACTCGTTTGATTTGTCTAATTATCTATAACTTCTTTTATGTTAGTTATATAGTCGAGATCAAAATATATTCTATATTTAGTACCATGCTCATTTTTTACAGTTTTAAGAATAAAGTCATATTTTATGTGAATTTTTAATGGTCATCTTTTCTTAATTTTATTTCCTTCTTAGAAGATTTTTTTTTCATTATTCTTGAAGATATTTACAAAATTAGGATTTCCCCAAAAATTGAAATTTCTAAATGCTTTATTTAATTCAGATATTTCAATTTTTCATTTTGATTGATAGCATTGTTCTTTTAACTCAATTAGATTAATAGAATTGCTTATTGGTTTTTTATGCATCTTTTCTCTTTCATAATTATCCATATATATTCCTTCAATAGGATTTTTCGGTGCGGATGTACCACTACCATCCTATCTTTTTCATCTTTTACAGTTTTTGCAATTTGTTCAATAACCATTAAAGAAGTTCCAAATCTTTTAACGAAACTTTCTTTTAAATTTTTAAAAGAATTTTTTTTTTATTTCTTTTTAACACTTTATAGATACTTTAGTAATTATGATATTTTGATTTCTTTAAATATTTAAAATTTCTTTACTCAAATCCATTAGATTATTTAATAGTCCTATAGTTTCAGTTTTACTATTTCTGTTATTATGGTGTATAAATTTTTTTTACATTTATTATATCATGCATTAAACATTGAATTTCCATATTTAAAAGTCTTCCTAGATTTGATTATAGACCCCAAGTGTCGCATAACGTCTTACAAGTAAAAATAAAATTTTACAAAATTATACTTAAACTTAAAGACTATAAAATTATATTAAAATTTAGGTTCACTTTGTAATTTATGAAACTTGAATTAGTGGAAAGATGAGTTGGATTGTTTGGTAAGTGGAAAGGTGAGATGGATGATTAAATGAAACAAAAATACTAGAGATTTTAAAAGGTTTACAAGAATTTCTACTATCTCACGTGGGTGTGAGACCCACATGGAACCCATACGGTGTAGGTTCCACACTCATATGAGGCATTTGGTAAATTTTTTTGAAATTTCCAACATTACTCTAAGTGAAATGCCACCTAAATTAGGTTGTTTTTAAGGATGAGAGATTGGTAGTCTGAATCTTTATTCCTATATGTAATAGCATGAATAACGAAAGTGGTGAGCAAATTAAAAATTAAAATTTGTTTGTCATTTTATCGGATAATTATTTAATAATTTCAGAGTATAAATACATAGTACCCTGTAGTATTGTGATTCATAGAAAATATGGATAGATTGTATTGGGTGATTGAGAAATATAAATAATGAATAGATATATTGAATGATAATTGATTAAAGAGTACAGACACGTGATATTCCAAAAATATTTTTATAATTTCCCTTGTATCAAAAAATTTATCCTTAGCTCTACGTTGGGATCCTCTAGAGTGAATTTCTAGATTGATCCATGGATAGCCGACACGTGTCCCACTCAACTGCCAATGGCTGAGATTCAGCTTGAGTAATTTTGAAAAAAAAATTCAAAATTCAAATTTCTGGATTTTCAGAGAGTTAGAGAGAGAGAGAGAGAGAGAGAGAGAGAGAGAGAGAAAGAAGGGCTGAGAGAATGAGAGAAGAGGATCGCCGTCCCACCCCGCCCTGCCCCCGATGCGCTGCCGCCGCCGCCGCCGATGCCCTTCCCGCCATACTCCAAAGAATCACGATCTTCCCTCTCCTCTTCTTCATTCTCTCTTCAGTCTTCTTTCTCTTTTTGATAGATATGAGAGAGCTGACGCAATAATACGCTTGATTTGATCCACATGACAAGGTTTCTTGATGGATGGATCGATTTTGTGTTGTTGGACTTTGTGTTGTTTAATTGGGACCGAGTTTTGAGGTCTGGTAGGCTTCTGTCCAAAGATTGATAAAGATGACAAAGAGGTTTTCTTCTCATATATATAAATATATATATATATCCTAGATCTGGGTTTTCCTTGTTTTCTATAAAATTTTGATTTGTTCTTTGGTTTTGGTTAAGAAACAGGTTGATTTTCTTGTTGTTTTAGGTTCTTTGTAAATTTTTGGGTTGATTTTAGGTTGATCTTCTTCTTTGTTTTAGGTTGATTTTCTCACCATTTCAGTCAAATTTAGAGAAGAAGAAGGAGGAGGGAAGGGAAAGGGTGGAACGACGCCATTTTGGGAGGAATTGATCTCAACCCTTGATTCGATTAGTGGGACAGGTGTCGCGCTCTCATAAATTCACTCTACCAGATCACTCTAGGAATTCACTCTAGAGGATCCCAACGCCGCAGCTCTTACACTATTTTATGGAAAATTTATGTTTAAACAATTCAAAATCACACGCACTTCAAAATAAATTTAAAAAAAGACTTTGGAAATGATAACTACTATTTCTTCGGTTTCAAAATAATAATTTCTTTTAGAGTAATTTTTTTATAGTACAATTATTATATTTTAAAAAAATTTATTTTTCAAAATTACCTTTTTGATAGTATATTTTTTGAGGAATATTCAATTGTCATACTTGTATTTTTTATGTTATTAATTAATTTTAAAAAAAGGTAACATAGGAAATTTATATTTTTTTTATCCTCAATTTTTTTAAAAAGATTAATATTTGGAGATAATAAAAAATGAAATAAAAAATTAATATTTTGAAACGAAATGAATAGTGAAAAAACAAACATAAAACAGACACTAGATACTGTATATCAAAATGAGGCTGCGCTTCAAAAATTTGTTCATTCCTCCTAAGTCCAGATCCTCTCCTTGAGGCCGGTCTTCCATTGACATCCAATGACTGAGATTAAAAAAAAAAAAAAAAAAAAAAATTGAAATTTTCTTTCATCTCCCGCCCAAACAAAACACAGCTCTCAACGTTGAAACAAAACACAGCTCACACAGCCTCTCACACAGCCTACACTCACCCATTCCCTCCGTCGAACCCACCCTCACCGACGACCCAATACCGGCAGCGACCCACTATTGACATCGTTATCCGAACTCATGGTAGTAGTAGCTATGCTTTTGGGTGTCTCTGTTTCATCTCCTCCGTCAACATCAACATCAACATCAGGATCAGGAGCATCAGGATCAGCTTATGAAAATCAGCAACAATCGCAGAGGTCATGGTGGAAATCAATGTTTTCTTCGTCGGTCGTCAACCCAGTTGGGTCCTCTGTTGTTCTCCCAATCTATGGCAATGTTTATCCCCATGGGTATTCTATTATTATTGCCTCCCCTCTCTCTCTCTAGAGATATGTTTTATGGGTATTATTCCTCATAGATTTTTGTATCTTTAAAGATTGTGAAGTAGTTCAATTTCTTGTGTATAATATGTTTTGCATTTCCTTCAATTTTTGTTCACTTTTTAAAAATTACACTGTTTCTCTCTTTTCTTAGGCTGTGTTTGGACGATGAATTTGAATAGAGATTTAGAAGGATTTTATTTGTATTGTACTTACCTTTTCTCTTTTCAAATTTTCATCCAAATACATTATCCAAACACATTGGGTTTGAATCATTGATTTGGAGAGTGATTTGGGAAGGAATTTGTGGTTTCTTTTCCCTCCACATCATCATCCTCAAATGCAAATAGCCTTAAAAAAAGAAAAAGGTTACCTGGAATTTCATTCACATTTTCTATCCTTTTTCTTTTCCCTCCGTAAATTCTTCATCAAATGCAAACACAGCCTAAAACTCCTAGTTGGAATTGCAAAGAAGGGTAATCTAATCAACACAATTCAGTAAAAAAAATTAGTGAAAATTTAAGTTCAGGTGGAGTTTGACAATTGCATTTTTGTATTTTATTTTTTAGAATCTAAAAAAGTTGAAATTTGGAGTCTTTTCAAATTTGCTTTTTGGTAGGAAATTACCATATTACTGCTCCCACTTGCATTCATAGTGCAATTATTTTGAATGGCTCCCAGGAACCAAATTTCTAACTGACTTGCAAATTATTTAAGAATATGCAAGTGAAAGAGAGGTTTGAAAATTGCATCAATTAATAATGGAAAATTCATCACTGCAATTCTTTGTTTGGTATTTTTGCACAACCAAACCTTGTGTTTCTCTTGTGCAGATTTTATCACGTTCAGCTCAACATAGGGCAGCCATCAAAGCCCTACTTTCTCGATCCCGACACTGGCAGTGACCTCACTTGGCTTCAATGTGATGCGCCTTGTGTTCATTGCACTAAGGTTTAAAAAAAATTAATCAGTTTTTTCATTTTTTCATTTTTGCAACTTTTTGTATTTTTAGAATTCAATTACATAACCATGCTTGAGCATATTAGAATTCAAATGGCATGATGAATTTTAGCTCTGTATGATCTACAAAATGCCATGTTGTGCTAAACTAGAAACAAAGGCTTTCAATTCCAAGCTTCATGATAAGATAATTGCATCGAAATAAGCATATTATATTATAAGGTCCTATGGTTTTACAGGGCACTTGGACAGGCATCACCCGACATCTCTGCGTTCATCCGAGCAAAGACAGCTGCTTATCCCATATTTGAGATGATAGAGCGAAACACAATAAGCAAAACGAGCTTGAAAACCAGTAGGAAACTAGTCAATCATGAAGGCCATATCCAATTCAAGGACGTATGCTTTAGCTACCCATCTCGTCCTGATGTTATGATATTCAACAAGCTGTGTCTTGACATACCTTCTGGGAAGATTGTAGCCCTTGTGGGAGGAAGATTGTAGCCCTTGTGGGAGGAAGATTGTAGCCCTGGCATGGTCTCTTCTTTTTTCATTTATGATGTAATGTTATTATGGATTTAATGTTATTATGGATTGTATCCCATGTACTTTATCATGTAATGTACGGGGAGGAAATAATTCTCCTCGTATAATCCTGTTGACCAAGTCCACGCTCCTCCGTACGACGTCGCTTTGTCACCTGAAAACACAAACGTGAGCTAGCCGGCGGGTGTGTGCCGGAAACCTCTCCGATGCCTAAGTCAGAAAACTTGACAAATAGACAAAGCTTTAAGTTCTCAGGAAGGTTGTGTTCAATTACCTCCTCTAAGGTGATGCTTGTGGGTTTTTATAAGTTTTTCGTGGCACAATCCTAGTAGGACTTGTACTTCTCCATGCAGAGTCCTCCTAGGATTCATTCTCCTAAGGACAATGCTTATCCTTTTACACCCTCCCCCACTGCTTAAACCAAGTGGGATGGTTTTCTCCATAGCCGAATTACTTATTTGACCGAAGTAACATTAGCTATGCCGAGCCTCAAAGTGGGCCGTACTAACAGTAGTTTGGTTCTTCTTCATGCTACACCATATCTCGGTTCTCTCATACACGAACCGTGGTATGCTTGGACCGATCTACTGAGTAGCTACGTTCCGACCGACCTACCTTGAATTCATCATGACCGGACTACCTTTCTTGGGACCGTACTAACTCAAGTTGTCCAAACCGAAGCAGCTTTACGATTCCTTAGCCGAAGTAACTTCATCTCTTTTGACCGTAGTGAGTCAACATCTCCTCAGAACCGGAATAAATCTATCGTTCTTGACCGGAGTAACTTTAATAGCTTGGGCCGGAGTATCTTTTATCTCTCCTGGGCCGGAATACCCTTGCGGCCTTTTCACCAAGTCCTTGGTGCTTTGGGCCACGAAGCCCACCACATAGCTCGGCCCAATTTTTATCAAAAATTACCCTCTCATGTAATGTTATTATGGATTTATGGATTTAATGTTATTATGGATTTATGGATTTAATGTACTTTATGAACATCAACCAACATCAACCAATACAAGTTAAATAAACATCAACCAACATCAACCAATACAAGTTAAATAAACATCAACCAACATCAACCAAGTTAAATGAACATGAACCACAACCAGCTGACTTAGGTTTAACATATAAATTAAAATCAACTGTAACTGAACATCAGCCAATACAAGTTTAACATCTAAATTAAAACATTGGTCCATCAAAATTGACACATTGGTCCATGTAATGTAACACATTGGTCCATATAATTTAACATTTGAACACACATTCTTCCATATCACTTTCCAGCAACAGTTTGCTTCACAATTTCAGAGGCCATGACTTCACTTTCTAGTCCAATTTCAGCATCAATTTGCTTCTGTTTCTGCTTATCCATAACCTAAAAAAAAAAAGACAGATAAAATTAATTTAAATTGGTTTATAGATAAAATTAATTTAAATTGGTTTATAGATAAAATTAATCTGGTTTATAGATAGGACCATATGTCATATAAGGAAAATTACTGGAATTAAGGAAATAGAATTATTAAAAACCAGATTAAATTACTATAGATAGGACCATAAAAACCAGATTAAATTAAAAACCAAATTGAATAGGACCATATGTCATCTATATTTTGATCATATACTGACATTCCAAAATGATGTTACTTTCAACCATCACTAGATGATGTTCCTTCCAAAATTATGTTCCTTCGAACCTGCAAACCTTAGGATCGCTAGAGACATTCCAAAAACTCAAAAGATTACAGGTTCGAAATTCATGAAGGCCAAAAAACATAATGCATGAAAGGAACATCATTGGAAATGAAGAAGGAAACAGAATGAAGATTAACCCCAGCAGAAAGGAAGAAGACTAACCTCTGGTTTGCCAAGGACCCACCCAGACAGAATCTGGAACGATTTGATACTGGTTTACTGTCGTCGGATCTGCAACGACGTCGCTAGTGGGTCGCCGCCGGTATTGTGCCGTCGGTGAGGGTGGGTTCGACGGAGGGAATGGGTGAGTGTAGGCTGTGTGAGAGGCTGTGTGAGTTGTGTTTTATTTTAGCATTGAGAACTGTGTTTTGTTTGGGAGAGAGATGAAAGAAAATTTCAATTGTTTTTTTTTTTAATCTCAGCCGTTGGATGTCCAACGGCTCATCTAAGCCGTTGCAAGTAGGGAATGGAGGACCGGCCTCAAGGAGAGGATCCGGACTCCATTGCTCCTGGGCACTAAGTCAGAAGTGTCAGATGGTGCCCCAATCTAATAAATACACGCCACACAATAGTTTGTCAGTGGACCTGCCACATAGACAACACACCACGAAGAATGACAAACCGGGTTAACATTAAACTCAAACAAATTAAAAATAATTTTTTTTAAATCTCAGTTTGCCTGCTTCGGATCCTACTTTAAATTTGAAAGTTTTGGTTTCAAAATCAAACCCTATATATATGTAAGCATTTCTCTCTTCTTCATTTAGGGCATTTTGGAAACTTCGTAAAAAGTCAATTTTTTGACATTTTGACTTTTTTTAAGTCACATCATCTCTATTTTTTTACACTAAAAAAGTCAAAATATTATAAAAGAAGTCAAAAAACTAATTTTTTTACCATTTTTTCAAAATACCACTCTCTCTCTCTCTCTCTCTCTCTCTCTCTCTCTACGTTTCTTCACACTTGTAAGATAGCAAAAGCTAACGCCGGCATCGTTGATCACCAGAACAATTTACCACCATCACCACAACAAATTACACTTTTGGCGACCGATTTTTTAGTCGCCAAAAGTCAGATTTTAGTCGCCAAACATTTTTCCGACTAAACTTTTTGGTCGCCAATTTTGTCGCGAGAGGATTGTTGGTGAAGGTATTGGCGACTAAAAAATATTTTGTCGCCAAAAGTCCTAAATTGGCGACAATGTTTTAGTCGCCAAAAGTAAAGGTGTTGGCGACAAACCAAATCTTTAGTCGTTGAAAGGCCAAATTGGCGACTAATTTTTTAGATGCCAAAAGCTTAAAATAAATTTAACATCACATTTTTAGCTACTAAAATTTTAATCTCCAAAAGTTGAATTATGTAGCGCGACCAAAGTTTTAGTCATGAATTTTCTGCTTTTTTGTTCATCTTATTTTTTTTAGCTACTAAATGTTTAGTCGTCTAAAGTCTAATTTTTTTGTTTAGCTCCTAAAGTTTTAGTCGCCTATCATTTTATTTTATTTTTTGTTTTGTTTTGGCCAAATATTTAGTCACCAAAAGTATTTTCCTTTTTTTTTTTTTGGGCGACTAAATCATTAGTCACCTAAATTGTTTTTTAAATAGCTACTAAACATTTAGTCGCCAAAAGATCTGTTTCCATTTAATTCTTTTTTTAGCTACTAACTATTTAGTTGATAAAAATATTAAACTCCATTTTTAGCTACCAATTGTTTAGTCCCTAAAAACATCATTTTATGTTTTTATTATTATTATTATTTTATTTTAATTAATTTGTCCATAACCTATATGTATCCCACACAACCTGTGACAGGTATAAAAACAAAAAAATACATATATATTGAAAAATCTAGAAATCTCCTAGATATTAATTTGTGATTATATATCAATTTTAACGAGTAAATAGCAATTCCAATCAAACAATCAAAGACAAATCAACACAACGATTTAACGTGGAAAAATCACAATTGGAGCGCCTCCAATTGTGATAAAAAAAAACCACGGGCCAAAAGCACAAAACAATCCACTAAGAAGACAAAAGGAATTACACAAATGTACTCTCAATTACCTAGCAAATCCACGCCCGAATTGAACCGACCCCTATATGCCTCTTCCACCACGATCTTCACTTCGGAATTGTCTTGCCTAACGTTGAATTCACAACGTCGATGTCGAATCCACAATAATGAGCCACTCCAGAATCCACCAAAGCTTCAGGCTCACATTTTACGGAATCCACCGAAAAACAACTCTCTTTATTGTATTGAATAAATAAAACAAACAAACCCTTTGATATAATCCACTCAATTCATTATTAAACTCTCACAGATATCGAAGGAAACAAGCAAAGAAGCCCCAGATGAAAATCCTTATACCCAAGAAGAAGATCTGGAAGTCGTAATCCTAAAATTTGACTGAAACACATATTTATAGAAAATCGGGCTGCGAAGGTTGCTTGAGCGAAGGATCTCTTGCTTGAGCGAGGAGACTAAAACAATGTTTTTCCAAGTGTCTTCGCTCGAGCCACCAAAGTGTCGTGCGAGCAAGAAATACAACTTCTCAGTATTTTTAGTCAGGGAAAACTTCTGGGACCAATGATTTTTCCAAGTGTCTTCACTCGATCCCCGACATAGTCAGAGAAGTGGCAAACATGAAAGAATTAACTTCTGAAACATCTCTGCAAGGCACAATTCGGGTCGGATTTGCATCTAAAAACTCATAGCCTTACTGAAATAAAAGTTGAACAAAATTACAACTGAGAGGAGTTTTGTCAAACGGGATTGACAAGAATAAAAACCTAACATATATTATCACCCATTCCACAACACGTATTTCACTTACAACCATCCAAAAAGAAAAAAACAACTTTTAATGTCAAATTCTATACAGATTAAATATATTTCAATTGAAAATAATAATTTCATACAGAACAAATAAGCATACAAAATCATGTCCTCCGTACACAAAAATATATTTACTACTATGCGAAATGGCCATTTGGCATGGTACAAATTACCACGGTAATCTGTACCACGACAAAAGGCAATCTATATACCATGACAATAAATATTTGTTCGATGTCAAAAGTATTATGTACCCTGCCAAAAGTTATATGTACGAATCATTCAAATTCACACAAAAAGTAGAGGATGACAAAAAAGCAAGATCATTCAAAAGTGTAAATTATCCTCCGTACACAAAAATTGAAGATCCACATGCCCATGCCAAAAGCCATCTACAAAACAAAAATTACATCCATTAGTTCCA